TTTCCAGAGTCGATACGCTTTTGACTCATTCGAGTATCCCACCAACACGTACTCATCACCTTTCGGATAAAATTTTCCTCGTTTTCGAGTCTTGTCCAGCACTATAGATTTACTTCCGATAATTTTAAAGAAACCAACATAAGGTTTACGCTTGAACCATAGCTCATTCGGTGTTTTTCCATCGAGGGCTTTTGTCGCACTTCTATTTCGTAGAAATGTTGCCGTATTAATTGCTTCTGCCCATAGTGACTGAGGTAGACTTGCTTGCAACATTATACACCTTGCCATTTCGACAAGTGTCCGATTTGCATGTTCTGCTACATCACTTTTTTGTGGGGTGTATTCGACACTTAGTTGTCGTATGATTCCTTTTTCTTCGAGAAAGTTGTTAAATTCGTTCGATAAATATTCTCTACCATTATCCGTACGTAGCTTTTTGATTTGATGACCTGTTTGTTTTTCGACTCTTTGTTTATAAGATTTAAACGCTTGGAATATGTCTGAGCGACTTTTTAGCATTATAGTTTCCATATAGCGTGTACATTTATCAATAAACGTTGCAAAGTATCTTGCACCTCCTAATGAGACGGTTTTCATCGGGCCACATATATCGGAATGCACTAAACCCAAAATCTCTTTTTCTCGATGATGCGACTTCTTAAATGGTTGAACATGTATTTTAGATCTAAGGCATATTTCACAGTTTAATTCTCTTGCTTTCGTTGAAAGGTCCATACCTTCGACTAGTTGTTCTATTTTCATTTTTCTTAGGTCGTTAATGTTTATGTGTCCATATCTTTGGTGCCACTTTAATAGGTTTTCGTCAGCAGTTTCTGCCGAAAACATCGTTTGGTCTTCCAATTCATTGACAACATATAGATTATCACGTTTCATAGCTGTTAACATCGTAGTACCATCTTTACGTTTGATGATTGCATAATTCTTCTTAAATACAACAATGTATCCTTTGTCAGTGACACTTGCTACCGATAAAAGGTTGTGGCGCAATTCCGGTACATATAATACGTTTTGTAGTTTTACGGAACTTATTGCTCGTTGACTTACTTTGTTTACGATGAAAATGGACTGTATACAAGCACACACAAAAATTGCTCAACTAAAACAAACTTTATTAATGTCAACACGCCAAACCACTCAGACAATACTGCCCGGACTCCTCTCGAATCCGTTCCACAGCCAAGATGGTCGCCATCTTGGCTGACGACAAACGAAATTCACAAAAGCGCGCGAAAAGAAAAGCGCCCTCTCACAATATTAAAAATTTTCCAAACAATCAATAATAAATAATTTACACATTACCCCCAGCCTTGACACCTGCAAGGTATCAATTACACCTTTAGCTGGAGTGAACCGACAATCACTCGAATGTTAAAGTATTACTTAATTATTACTGGGTAGTGGACACAATTTAGTAACTTCCTTCAGTTCTTTACTAGCCTTTTTGAAGTTGGAGGCACAGTCACTCATAATTTTAACTGGTTTTCCCCGACGCGCAATGAATCTCTTCAGCGCAGCTAAAAATGTTGGAGTAGATAGGTCACTAGCCAATTCAAGGTGGACAGCCTTTGTGGAAAAACATACAAATATAGCAACATAGCACTTTGAAGATCTAACACCTCTTCCACCTCGTAACTTAAACAAATAAGGACCAGCATAATCTAATCCAGTAATAGTGAAGGGCCTACTGGGCTGAACTCTAGGGGCTGGTAAATCACCCATTAACTGAGAGGCAGTTCTTCCCTTGGTTCTTACACAGGTGACACACTTATGTATAATATTACGAACTACACTTCCGGACAATATCCAAAACTGTATTCTAAGAATACTCAAAAGCAACTCTTGGCTAGCATGTAGGTAAACAATGTGATAGTACGTTATGATAAGATTGGTGATATGACTCTTAGAGGGAAGCAAGACTGGAAATCGTCGTGTTTCAGGAATATTGGCATTCTTTATCCGACCTCCCACGCGGATAACACCTACAGCATCCAAAAAGGGAGTCAACTGAATTATTCCACTGTGAACGTTTAACTCCTTTCCTAATCTTAAAGAAGACATCTCCTCACTAAAATATGATTGTTGAACATACTTAATTATTGACATAATGGCTGTCTTTAGTTCATTAGTAGTTAGAAAACAATTTAAACGTTTTTCTGGAGGGTTACGGCAATTATGCAGGAACCTCAAACATAATGATACGACGCGACACACTCTGGACCATGAAGAAAACCTTTTAAATATCCCATCTTCTTCAACTTTACAGGTAGCCGTCGTGTATGTTTTACTCTCCTCAAGATGTACCTTCTCATCATCAACAGATTTCTCATTTTCAGACCAAATTTCAGGATTAATCTGTCTTAACCACTCTGGTTTTTGAAACCAAATCTCACAGTTAACTAATTCAGAAGGAAGAAATCCTCTGGTTGTACAGTTTGCAGGATTATGACTTCCACCAATGTGTTTCCACTTCACGGTAGGAATAGCGTTCTGAATTTTTTCGACTCTATTGGCAACAAATGGTACCCAACGATAAGATTCAGACGAAATCCACGCTAATACAACGGTGGAATCTGACCATGCAAATATGTCACGTATGGGAACATCGAGATATTTCAATACAGTTTGCAATAAATTAGCCAATAGGACAGCAGCACAAAGTTCCAGCCTGGGAAGAGATTGTACTTTGAGAGGAGCAACCTTGGTTTTGGATGTTAGTAGAGTGACCTTTACGTCACAATTATTTGACATTGTTCTTGCATAGACTACAGCACAGTAAGCCTTTTCTGAGGCATCGCAGAATGCATGGATATCAAGGACGTTTAAATTTGGAAGTGAAACAAATCTCGGAATGTTTAAGTTCCTAAGAAGGGTTAACTCATTTCGAAATAACTTCCACTTTTGCTCCACTTCAGCAGAGATGGACTCATCCCATGAAAGTTGACACTTCCACAACTCTTGAATCAGAATCTTTGCATATACAACACATGGAGCAAGCCAGCCCAAGGGATCAAAGATTTTTGCTAAATCCGAAAGGATTTCTCTTTTGGTATAGCCTGCTTGCTGATCTGAGTACGGAATAGAAAATCTGAAACAATCCTCCTGAGGAATCCAATTGATTCCTGATTCCATTATTCTCTTGAAGCGTTACTGACTCAGAAGAGTTTCTTAATTCCTTAGGTATCTTCTCTAGTACCGAAGGGTCATTTGAAGTCCATTTGCGTAACACAAATCCTCCTTTAGTCATCAGGGCTGTTAATTGGTCGACTAGCAACTTACACTCCTCTGTGCTTTGTGCACCTGATAACAAGTCATCTACATAAAAATCTCTTATAATAGCCTTAGAGGCAAGGGGAAAATTGTCTCCCTCGTCATCCGCAAGTTGATGAAGCGTCCTTGTAGCCAAAAAGGGTGCGGGTGTTGTGCCGTAGGTAACTGTAACAAGTCTATATTCATGAACTGGATCACTAGCATCAATTATCCAAAACACTCTCTGAAAATCTCTATCTTTTTCGTTAATCAATATTTGTCTAAACATCTTCATTATATCAGCAGTAATGACGATGGGAAAAGTTCTAAACCTCATCAAAATTGGGAATAACTCTTGTTGAATCCCAGGACCAACCATTAAAATGTCATTTAATGACACACCTGAAGAAGACTTCGTCGATGCATTAAAGACCACACGTAACTTCGTTGTTGTGCTAGATTCCTTCATAACTGGATGATGCGGAATATAATAAGAAATACCGTTTGATCCTGACTGATCAACTAATTCCATATGGCCTAGATCTATGTATTCTCGCATGAACTCCTTATACATCTTATATGTTTCTGGTGTTCTATTGAGTTTATACTCTAAAGCCTTAAATCGTTGTAATACTAACTCCTTAGTATAGCCCAAACACGATGGGTTCTGTTTAAAGGGAAGTCTCACAACATAACGTCCACTCTTATCAAGAATGTGAAGATCATTTTCGAGATACTCATTACCGGGATCTAACTTACCGGGATCTAACTTAGACATTCTCCTTACCTCTGGGACAGAGTCCAATGCCCAAAATTTCTCAACTAACTCTTTAGTGGTCAATTGAATATTATTCACAAAGAATGTAGGTTGATTTATGGTATTGAGAAAGGCAGTTCCCGCAATAATCCAGCCGAGTTTGGTGCAAACAGCAAACGGCAGTGTCTCCTTTCTCCGTATTATATCTCCCGTTAGCATAGTAAAGAAAACATTAACACCCAGTAGAATGTCAACTGGTCTTGTTTCGAAAAAGAATGGGTCAGCCAGAACTAGGTCATTAAAATTGTTCAGAAGATGTGGAGGGAGAGGTACATTAGGAACATCCGACGTTATTTTTTTAATCACGAATGCTTTTGTACTAAATTTCAAGTCTGAACTAAAATAGGGGGTAAAGTTCAACTCTATTTCACCAGAAGTCACAGCATGGAAAGATCCCAAGCAAGAAATCCGAACATTAGCACTGCTTTTCGCGAAACAGTTTATTGACACAGTCTTCTGTTATAAAGGATGCCTCAGAACCGCTATCCAGTAAAGCTCGACAAGTTACGAAATTTCCAGATGAGTCGCTTACCTTGACTATAGCAGTACAAAGTAAGACCTGTTTAGTTCCTTTAAGACCTACTCCGATTGCACTCGAAGAATCAAAAAGTCCAGCACAAGTAGTGGTAGTTGGACTCGATAAATCATATGGCATCGATTGGAAGGGAGGAGCATCAGTCAAGGGTGGACTAAATGCCTTCCCAGATTTCAGAGGTGAAGACTCTTCAGAATCCCTACTGATATGTAACATGGTATGATGTAATTTACTACATATTCTGCATCTACTTAAACTCATGCAGTTTTTAGCTTGGTGTCGAGCAGTAAGGCAATTAAAGCATAGTCTATTCTTTTTTACCATATCTATCCTCTTCTGAGTGCTCAACTGTGTGAACCTTGAACATTTAGATAATGAGTGCTAATTCTTACAAAGAAAGCAAGTATTACTACCAGATACCAATGATGTCACTTTTGGATACGAAACACTTCTCTGTTCCTTAGGTGGCAACTTAATAGCTTGAAGGGTTCTCGCATGATCCTTCAAGAAGGTAAGCAAGGTCTCCAGCGTGCCTAGCTCATCTTTCTTTAAGGTACGTTCCCACCAACTCCTAGTATTTTTATCGAATTTTTCCGTAATTAAATAAACTATTAGCACTTCAGAAAACCCGGTAATATCCTGATCAAGTACACTCAACGATCGGACGCATTCATTTGTAATATCCACAGCTTGTAATATAGATTGAGATGAATCAGTAATACTCGGAATGGTTATTAATTTCTTGATCAAAGCGTTTACCAGCTCACGTTTATTAGAAAGCCGCTCTCGTAAGAGTTCCATTGCAGTTTCATAGTTAGAATCCAATATTGGAAGTGACTGTATAATTTTCAAAGCATAACCTCTACAGGATGATTTTAAATATTGTAATTTCTGACAATTCGACAGATTACAATTATTGTCCACACTAGCCTTAAACAGATCCTGGAACGATAACCAGTCCTCAACATTTCCACTAAAAGTCGGAAGAGACAATTTCGGAAGTCTTACATCCGGTACCTGTGATTTTAAACTATCGGCATCACTTGTGGAATTAATTCGTTGTTTAGAGTTCTTCCGTTCTACCTTTAACCAAAGTTCGTCAATAGTCTCCTCAATAGATTGCTGTTCCTCTGCATACATTTCAATTTCCTTATCGTTACATTGCGAAAAGATCTCGTGAAATACATCATGTAATTCGACTCTAAGTTTCTTAATTTTAGTTTGGAACAGTTCTATTTGAGTATCGTCTGCGACCTCAATACCAGCACCTATCCTTTCCTTAAGCTTGGTAGTGTTGGACTTAAGGATTTTCTTTTTGGTTAACGCACACTTAAGACCCTCCATAATAACAAGTAATAATAATAGGCCAACTCACTTGCTCGAGCGTATTAAATCCTGTTTCTGCGGAGTTAATCCAGAAAATGTGAGCACCAATGCACGTAGTAGAAAGTTTCCAAAATTTTCAATCCAGCAGAAATATGCTACACGTCCATTACAATATCCGACAGACCATCCGCCTCGATGGACCAAATGTTTACGATGAAAATGGACTGTATACAAGCACACACAAAAATTGCTCAACTAAAACAAACTTTATTAATGTCAACACGCCAAACCACTCAGACAATACTGCCCGGACTCCTCTCGAATCAGTTCCACAGCCAAGATGGCGACCACGACAAACGAAATTCACAAAAGCGCGCGAAAAGAAAAGCGCCCTCTCACAATATTAAAAATTTTCCAAACAATAAATAATAAATAGTTTACACAACTTTCAAGCTGAGATTCACATCACCTATACCAACTGCTTGCACATAATTATCTGTGGCAGTATAAACTTTAGATTGTTTAATTTGATCTAGAGTTAAGAATTTGTCTTGGTCGTTACACATATGTCTTGTCGCACCACTATCTAAATACCACTTTTTCGATCCGTTTGTGAATTCCACGTTGCATGCGATTGTAGTAAGAGCACCCCTAGTAATTTTCATATCTGTGTGTTTTGTTTTCGATTTACAATTTCTACTGATATGTCCAGTTTTACCGCAGCTGTAGCATCTTCCGTCGAATCTTTGGCTTCTAAATCTTGTATTATTTTTCCTCGGGTTCGTTCGTGACTGTTTTACACGGTCGGACTTTCCCTTTGAAAGCAATGCGTCACTTCTCTCGTTCTCAGTTAGCTTCGTAACACGCTCCCTCTGTCTTGCTTCCTCCTTCTTTAATTTCGCTTTGAGGTTTTCGAGCAACGGTATGTCATCACGTGACTATGGCTACATTAAAATTTTCATATTCATCTGGCAGTGATCCGAGGAGCATAATCGATAGTAATTTTTCTGGGATTTCTATTCCAGCTTCTTTCAGTTGATCAGCTTTACTCGTGAACTCGTTTACGTACTGCGTAATCGTTACATTCTGTCCTTTTTTCATTCGTAGTAACTGTTTGTACAACGTTGCCTTTCTAACAGGACCCCGTGACTAAAATATTGCCTTAAGTCCGTCCCACGCTTCTTTAGACGTTTCGGCGTTTCTCACGTGGTTCAACTGCCCAAGACAAAGGCTTAGATTTATCAGCGCCAATGCCTTTGCGTCTTGCTTGATCCATTCCTCTAGATTTCTTTCTGGTTTTATTTCAGTATCGTCAACGTATTTCTACAGGTCATTATATACGAGAAGACTTTTCATCTGTATTTTCCAAAGTTCGTAATTGTCCTCGTTCAACTTCTCAATATTTGAAAATCCACTAGGACCCGCCATATCGAATTAGATAATAGATCCGTTTACTTACTTCTTATATTAAATATTCTTTCCTTGTAAGCAGTCCTGGGCCCATAACCTGTCAGAAGATGAAGCAAGTAAACGTATATCTTACGATGTACGGAAATACACAGTTATATGTAACACGACTACATGCACAAAGGGAGGGGAGACACATGCTACACAGGGACGTAGCAAACTAGAACAAAGAAAGTGACCTTTGACCAAAAGTATGTGAAACTCACCAACGTAGCGCCGTCTAGTACAAAATATGTCTTAGTGACCTAGCACACAGGGATTACATTTTTTCTTTCTTTCACACATTACTTCGAGAGAAATTTGTAATAAAACTTCTTACTGAAAATCTATTCAGAACAACTTATTATTAAAACAAATTTTATCAAACTATTTATTATTAAAAATTATTATTTACTTAAGTAAAAATTAATTTTGTAATTAGTGCCATCCAATTTTATTTAGGAAATTCATTGAAAAATTAATTTTGTGATTAGTGCCACCCAAACCACTACTACTAATGCATGCTAAGAAGAAATTTTTCGAAATTCTCCCTGCGGGGGAGAGGGAGAGGATTAAGACAGACTGAATAACGGCTTCTACCGTACTATTTTAGATGCAATTTTTTGTTTTCAACTACATTTAGTCTTCATTGAGTACTTAAGTGTATTAAATCGATAACATTTCAGACATTGTAATAAATATTTTTATATATTTCGATTTTTTAACCAAATGTTCGAACCGTTTTAAATTCGATTTTGTTATTGCATGTTGGTTCGATTATAGAAATAATCGAACCAACATGGAAGTAAAGGTTTCAGAAAATTGACCAAATTGAAAACAATTCGTTTGATTCTCGGCAATTCTCATCATCCTCAGCGGTAGGTGTTATATAATAATTACTGTATTATTGTTGTTGAAATACTGAAGTATTTCAACAACAATAATACAGTAATAATTATATATAGTAATAATAATACAGTATAAATGGGGTTTGCTTGCAAGATCCGTGCAGGCGAAGTCGCAGGTAACAGCTGGTAAAATAATAAGGCAAAAGGGTTACATAATTACTTATACATTTTGGTATTTTTGAAACCGTGCTAGTAATTTATTTTAATTCAAACACAAATTATTTATCGTATTTATACAGATACTTGGCAAATCACAGAATTAAATTTTATTCAGTTGATACGAGCTTCTTTTGTTTATACACGTTTCGGGCATTTCTTGCCCCTCTTCAGCCAACTAAAATAAAAGTTTACAAGCTACAACAGTAAAAACCAACAAATATATAAGGTTATGTTATTTTAAAAACATACCTTTTTGATTAGTTTAAACAATTTTAAAATTTCTTCCATATACTTAAAATCACGTTTAAATTGATTTAAGAATTAAAATTTACATACTAATCATTCGAACAAACGTATTCCGCTGACCTTTCCTCCCAATTAAGCCTTCCCACTGTCTATTGCACAGTCACATGACGAGTAGGCCACCCCTGTGGCAACATTTTTTTTAAATTACTTTTTTACATAAAAAATCTGTTACATAAAAATTTTTACATAAAAAATCTTTTTCAAAAATATTCCTTATTTTATAAGATATTGAGTCAATTTTCGTGTATTTTAATACTTAAGNCACTGTCTAGTACACAGTCACATGACGAGTAAGCCACCTTGTGGCAACATTTTTTAAAAAATTACTTTTCTACATAAAAATTTTTTACATAAAAAATCTTTTTCAAAAATATTCCTTATTTTATAAGATATTGAGTCAATTTTCGTGTATTTTAATACTTAAGTTTTTATTTATGCATTTATTACTTTTGATAATTTCTACGCTTTCTTTGAACTTTCTGTGATATGTTTTTTTTTCTTTGTGGAGTATTTGTACTTTATCTTTATCTATTTTACAATCGTTCAGGTTGCAATGAACATGAAAAGCAGAGTTTAATCTATTGTATTTTAGATCTGCTATATGTTCTTTTAATCTGGATTTTAACTTTCTTTTAGTTTCTCTTATATAATATTTATTATCTCTACAAGTCCAAAGACACACAAAGACTGTTAAAAAATGGAACCTTAAAATAAATAATCTTAAAAAGCCACAAGATAATAAAAAAACAAATGAAGTATATCGAGTATATAAAGTATATCGAGTTTCCATACATCAAAGGATTACACGAGCAAATTGATAATGAAATAAGTAATATAAACTTCAAGTTAGCATCGTCATATCAAAAAATGTACAGTAGACCTCCCTATAACGCTTAGATACGTTCCACGTTATTCGAATTTCACGTTGTAGGAATCCTTAAATACATGAGCCAATCGCAGCCTAACACGTGTGAAGTTTACGGATTACGGCTGTTTGAAAGGTTTTCTTCCATAAAATTAATCGATTCTAGACTAATTCGACTCAACATTTCCAAAATACGTATAATTATTTGGGAATAATCCGTATAAACTATGCTATAAACAAAAAATTGTAGGATTACTTACCGAGTGTGCACCGTTCGACGTCGCCATTGCTTANATTTAATTTATATATAATTTATATATAACACTGTACAGACGATAGTAAACTCAATTTATCCGCGTAAACTCTCCGTAGCGTGGCGCTGAACTGCGGAAAGTAGTTCGGCTGTCCGATGACATTTTACCGAATTATAGGAGTTTTTTACCATGTTTGTACGGATACCGTCGCAATTTTTTCGCCATCATATCGGAATCCGTACTATTGGAACCCGTGTTATAGGGGGGTTCTACTGTACTCAAATATCAGTGGCGGAATGGAAGCGCTGTATTGTAGAATACAGGACAGCTTTCAAGCAGCCAGATTATATGCATTCGCGCATGCGCTTTACAGAGCACCAACCTCAGGCTGCTTAGCTGGTGGGTGCTACACATCAAAATATCGTATAACGCTTCCAATGATTCTATCCAGGACTTGTTCTGGGTTGTTAGCTGTCTGCCTGCTAGATATTTGGCCGCCCTCGCCTCATTATGTGAATCGCAAGTAGATTTATAACTTAACCCAACGGATAAGAATTTACTGGTACGTTTTTATGATAGTTTTGTATAGTTGCCACGAGTAAAAAAATCCATTATAATATTTGATATATATTCATTCTGCTTTTATTCTTCTCTCTCATTTTGTATTACTTACGAATTTCAATATTAAACTAGTGATTTACGATTTAGTATATCTCATGTATAAGAGGACGCAGAGAAAAACGTGTACAATTTTTGTACAATGTTAAAAAAATTAACTGTTACTTTGACAGCATCATTTATAACTAAATTTAATAAATGAGATACACGAGGAACAGAAAAAGCTTTAGAATTTATTTTCTTTAAATTTACAATTTATGTAGTTGTTGTCATAAAAATTTGTCTTTTTACTTCTTTCCCGAGACTACAAATATTCGAGTACAAAATAACCGGTTTCGACTTATTTCTACTTAAGTAGTAGTTAAATAATTAAGCGATTAGAGAATTAGGAACATAAATAAAACCCTGCCGAAAGAGCCGGAATATTACTTAAACAAAAGCTTAACCGAACAAATTTCTAGC